GTCAACTCCATAGCAGAAAGTGAATAAATGGAGTAGATATCTTCCTATAATAGACAGAGGATGTATGACACGTTAACAGCAGATCTGCCTCAAAGAGGAGACTCCTAAACTTCTCCATCTTTACCAAAAAATACCATAAAATGCACCTGTGTGTATAGGAACCTGTTTTCATTTCTACACCTTTCACTAAAACAAAAGCTGCTGATCCAATCTCAGAGGTGTCTGAGAAAAATAACCTACAGAAACTTTAAAAATAAGAGCACTTTCCAGACATGAAAATGCTACAGCCAAGAGCTTGGGAAGGGAAGGAGAAAGCCCTGACGATAGTGAAATGAAATCTGGGATTATCAACCACAGTGATAATTGTTTTTTAAGTGTAAACAAGGCAGAAGATGAAAAGAGAGTTGGCATTTCAACCCACAAGCAACAGAGCACCTGAACGGCCCCAATGTCTCTGCTGAGAGCATTGATGCTTTTATTCTGCTTTGTGTTGTTGTGCCTTGAAACACTCAACAGCCCTAAGAGCACCTCTGGCTCCCTGCCCGGCCTTTCTGGCTCTCCCCGGCCCAAATTGCTTTCCCCCCATTTCTGATGTCTTGATTTCACTCGTGGTCATCAAAAAAGAGAAAAAAAACCCCACACACACAAAGGAGGAAACAAAATAAAAAGCAGAATCCTTTCAGCATCATCCAACACCCCCCCACACACACACACAGTGTGCCACAGCTCATCCCAGGACAGGCTCTGGCACAAGGGACAGCAAATACTTTCTCAGCCCCTCGTGGTTTGGCAGAACAGTGTCCACAGGTGTCCCAAACCCTCTCCCTTTGCACCTTGTTTGGCAGGATCAGAGGAAAGCACTCGGTTTTACAGCGCCAGCTACACCACTGAGACACGGTTATGGTGCTCAGCTGGACAAAATAAGCTCCTCTTGTCTCTCTAGAGGAGCCAAGAGAGAAGGACATAAACCTTAAAAAGCAATCTACACATGCACTGAGCTCTTCCACTTACAGGGAAACTCATTTCATCTACTCCAGACACTGCTGCAAACCAAAGTTATTTCCAGAGTTACCTTGTGGGACAATCCCACAAAATTTTAAACAGGTGAACCAAAGATAATTTGCATCAAATGTACTCACTCATTACTAGGGTGTCATCAGCAGTTTTGCCAAAGTCTACTCATTTTTTTACCAATGTCCCCGTCACAATTTAGTGATGCCAGCTCTAGCTCTGGAGCCAGGGGCTGTACAGTACTTTTATCAGCACACAATAGCCTTCTCCTGGCAGATTAGAAGACAAAATGGGATATCTAGCAGAAATATGACATAGCAAGGTCTGAACAAACTTCATTTTGCTCATCAGCCCATCACTGAAACGCTGGTCTGGAGTAACACTGAGCAGTAAAACAAGGCTGGGCCACTCACTGCTGCAGAAACCAAACTTCTTATGTGAGATGTTTCCAAACACCATCACAAAGGGGTTAAGTCCTCCTAATTCAGGCCAGAAATGGTAAAATTTACCTGCCACAGCTATTGTGCAGCAATTCCTGTGCATAAAGATCCTCCAGCTGTGGGTTATGGGATTTCTCTGGTCCCTGCTGTGACACAGCCACTTCTAGGATTGAATCACAGCCCCAGTGACCCTCCTGAGCCAGGATCTGAACTTTATTTCAACCCACACCTGCTAAACCAGGGCAGCCTTAGCCCAGGGCCAGCTCAACTGCTTCTCCTCCAGACCATCTTGGCCAGGGAAGGGATCAACACTTCCAGTTTGTTCTCCACACAACAACTGCTGGGATCCTGCACAGAAAGGTGACTCCCTCAATAGACCACAGGCACTGAGCAGGCAGATCCTGCCCTGCATCCCTGAGGAGAGGCAGGAATGAGGCCATCACATCACCGGGATGTTTTGCAAAGTCTCCCTGGGTTTCAGGCAGAAGATGCTTTGCTTTCTGGGAAAGGGACTTTCCCAAGCTTCATCCTCCTTCTATTCCTACACTAAAGCACCAGGACTGTGCTAGGACTTGGTTTGTAATTTATGTTTTTAAAAAAAGCACATCAATAGCAGCAGTTCATCCCTCTAAAGCTGAGATACATTCCCATATCTTCTGACTCCCTCCCAGTGCTGCTGTAGCCACGGGAACACCTCTCACTACAGCCTGCAAGCAGGGAGAAAGTGTTTACCCTACCCCACAGGCTATTTCTTTTCCCCTTCCCTCTCCCACTGCAAAAAGCCCTTTGCTGTCTCACAAGAGCATCCCCTCACTCCCAACTTGACACCACTTCCCAACCCTGGAGCGAGATCCTGTCCTGACATTTGTGAACTCCCGTTTTCAACGACGACTCAGCACAAAACTTAACTTGTACAACCTGGGCTCCAGGCTTGGCCCCTTTTCAAACCTCCCCAGCGCTCCCCTGGCCGGACAGAGACCCACACAGCCTTCCCAGCTAATTGAATTTTAATGAGAGGAAGTCGTTTTTCCACTGGAAGAATGTTGTGCTAGGGAAATATTTTGAAACTCCTCTAACCTTTCCTGCCAGGCTTTTTCTGCGGCGGAGTACGAGCGAGGAAGTTCCCATCCCATCCCATTCGGTTGTGCTGCTCCCCTCACAACCCCAGATGGGCCTGGAGCTTAAATAATTGCAACTTTCAAAACAAAAAGCCTTTGGGGGTTGATTTGATTTCAGTCCTGACCAGGAGGATATGAATTCCCACTGCTTAAAGCTCTTGTGCTGAGACACAGCCGGTCCCAGCCCTCCCCAATGCTGTCTTCCACCCCACTCCCACCTAACTGGGTTATTTTAATTTCCAGCAAAAGTGACAAACACATAAGAGCCATGGATGCAGAAAACACTGGGGAACACCTTGTTAGCTGAGGTTTGCAGAGCAGTTGCCTGCAGGACAGCAGCAGCTTCATCTGCATGAGGTCCAGAAGTTATCAGCTTTCCAGACTACATAAATTTACCAGTTTACACCCATTTCCCATTGTTGTGAGCCACAGTTTTCCCTGTAGAGTTTCTGCTTAGTCTTGCAGAAAGAAGAAAGGAGGGGCCAAAGGAAATGAAGTTGCTGAGATATGAAGGAAATTAGGTTATAGTCCACTGCCTTCAGAAAACCTATTACACTGGGTTTAAAGCTGCTGGTATCTTGAGGGTGGCAAAAAAAAAGGATAAATACCAGAACTAGAGGGGTTTTTATGTATAAGTTGTATAATGTCAGTAGATATAAGGCAGAGGAGAAAAGTATTTTCTGATTATGCAGTTCTCAGTAAATGCCTGCAAGATCTTGTAGCTGCATCTCATACCCAGAACAGGGAACAGCTCCAGTGGAGGAAATGGTCACTCCATTCTATCCCACATCCCAAGGCTGAGGAGGTTTCACAGCCCCTCTGAGCTTATACCCAGAAATAAGACCTTTTCAGCAAGGGAGCCATGGCCAAGCCCATGGAAAGGTCTGAGAGAGGAGCTGGGAGAGCACTGCCACCTATGAACACGTGTTCCCATCTTGGCAGAGGAATCAGCTGTCCTAAATCCAGGTGAGCCCTAAAAGCCCCCTGGGAGCACCTCAAGCTTCAGAGGCATTTATGGAAAAGGTACCACTTTGCAAAACGAAGGAGTCTAAAGTGCAGGTTTCTCATCTGCTCTGGATGTGATTCCAAGTTCTTTAAGTGGATCTAGTAGATCCCTGGATCCATCAGCTCTCCCCAGAAGAGCTCACCACTTTATATAACAGCTCCACTCAAAGCACAGCACCCAGTGCAGCTGCTGAAATATCTGACAGAACATCCAACGCCTGCTAAAGACACCCCAGTGCCCCTTAAACTCAGCTTTTACTTTCCATTTTCCTTGTTAAACTTCCCAGGGAACGTCCCTTAATTTAATACAATTTAGAGATTCAGCTCTAACTCTGTAACTGGGATTTTGGCAGCACTGCTCAGTCCATGCATTCTTGCTCTGTTTACAGCAGCCCAGCTCCCAGATGTTGGTAATATTAAACAGGCTGGAACTTTCCTTCCAAGTGACAGCAAAATGCAGACAAGAGCTGGCTTTGCTACGGCTCTAATTATCCATGGATAGGACATATTCCCCATCCCTTTGCTGGGCTGGGGGAGGCCCAGGAGATACAGCTCTTCCCCCACATAAATTCAATAAAAGTAAGGAGATAGAGATCAGTAGGTCTTGGTTTACACTCCACTGCACTGGGCTTGATTTCAGAGAACAATTTTAGCTTGCAAGAAAGATCAGGAATGAGATTCTCATCCACATGGAAGTCTCAGAAGTGCAGCAGAGCACAGAAGTTGAGATTGCCAGAGAAATGCATACATTAAACTGGTTGCTGAACTATGGGAAAAACTTCTGCCATATGTACCTTGTCTATAAATAATCCTCTATCTCTTTGCTTAAATCAGAGGAGCTCATGGGAACTTTCCACCCCTCAGGATTTTGCTTTGCTTTTGAAAGCAGTCGCCGTGTGGGAGGTGACAGGGCTGCCAAACAAGCTGTCAAGGAGGGTCCCCTTTTGTCATGGTGCAAGAAACCAAGAATCCATGGCCAATGCATGGAAAAAAGAGCAAATTCCTACAGCCTCAGAGTGAACTGTGACTTGCAGGGGAGCTGCTTTCCTCAGCCTTGGTTTACTGCCCCTGCAGCTTTATCTGAATCTTAACAGGGACGAACGAAAACCTTGTGAGCCCTTCCCATGTTTTATGTGCCAAGAGCTACAGATCTACAGAATCTCAAGGCAGAGATGATCTAGAATTCCAGCAAAGGCATGAAACCAGAGGAGTTCACTCCAACAGGTCATCTGGCTCACAATTTAATCGTTACTACAAGAAACATTTACTTAGTCAAAATAAAAATTTAAAAATTACATACAACACTGTTCTGCTATGTAAAAACCCAATACAAGTGGCAAAACTGAGCTGTAAATATTTCAACATCCAGAAACCAGCTCATCCTCTCTGTGGAACAACCCCAGAGCTGCTCCTTGCCACGACTTACCTCAAAGACTTCCTCATCCAATATCCTCGTTCCAAACACGATGATGCCGTTGACGTCAATGATGGGGTGGTCACTTCTGTCCAGGAACTTGGTTATCTTCTTTTTACAGTCCAAAATCAAGGTGACATTTTTCTTCTGCACACTGAGAGCTACTCTGTGCCACCTACAAGAACACAGCCCACAAATGTGTTAAACACAGCCTTGGGTTTTTCCCAGAGCAAACTAATGATTGTGTAACAGTGACGTTTCACAGACTGATGTCCTGCAAACCTTCCTGGGAATTCTCCTTGGGCAGCTAAAGATTTCATTTGAAATACAAAGGCTGACTGAGGAGATGCCATTCACTATTCATCCCTCCAGGACAGGTAAGAGAATGCCAGTTCTGGCTTCAACAAGAAGCAGAGATAAAAACCACACAACGACTCCCTGGTTATCCCCCTTTTCCACCCTCCTTATGTCCTGCAAAAGTCTCAGTGGGGATTTTGCAAGACAAACTGATTCCTTAAGGCCCTTTGCAGCTAAAGTCCATATTCCTGTCCCCATCACTGTCAGACAATTTTGCACTAACTAGTCATTCACACTTCTTATATATATAATATTTATTCACTGAAGGCCAAAATTACAGGCTGGGACACTTGGCAGCAGTCAGAGGTGTGTATATACATTTATATAGGCATGACTCCTATTTTACACAATGTTCAACATGCTGGTATTGATATAAACAATGAACTGTTTTTCCTTTGTGCACAAAATTTCACTTACTTGCCATCTGCAAGGTTAATGCCTCTAAAGAGAGGATAGTCTTCTGGGCCTGGCTTTCCTGTATGGTCTTCATACAGGAATACAGGAGATCTACCCAACTCCACACCAATTTGCTGGATCCCTTGCTCATTGTAAATTGAGATCAAGAAGGACTGACCTCCTTTCTTCGCTTTTACAGTGGTTAGAATGGAGAAGTCCTCTGGGAATGGGGAAGCTGGAGTGGAAAAGCAAAGAGGTTAGTCAGGTTTCCTTGAAAATTAATCCCTACAGAAAGAGTCCTGCTGTCTAATAACCCATGGGAAGACCTCTGGTTTCTCTCTCCACATGTGTGCACACCAGCAACCTTAAAAATTTATATGGGGCCAGGTGAAATCTGGCTTTCACCCAAAGCTTCTTGAGATACAGGGTTGGGAATGGCTGAATCTTTGCTGGACCAGCAAAGCCAGTTCAGAGCAGTGTCCCCAAGGGACACCTAACTCCTCCTTACTGTGCTCCTTAAATGTGCTCTAGAGCTTTTAAGGAGACAAGGCAAAACTTTGTTTCATATATCTTAAGGCCCCCAAAAGAGCTTTAGATGTCAGAGGGACAGAGGGAATTAAGCATCCTGTGCCAGGTAGGCACACACAATATTGAAGGGGTTTATTTGAGGGAGGAGGGAATTGCATCAGGGTTTGTCCATTCCAGATGAGAACAGAGGATTCTGTGGCTTTGGCTTTCAGGGTTGGTGCAGACACACACACACACACACACAAAATCATTCTAAAAACAGAAATAAATGTGGCAATCAGTAGGAGGTGCTAATTTGAACTTGTCTGTGTGTTATCTGATTTCCTAGCTTTTTGTTTTTCCACTCAGGAAAGCAACCCTGCCTGATCACAGGTGATTTCTGTCTTTATTTTTGCCAGGTTTGGAGGATTAAAGCCATTAAAGACCTGTCAATACAGAGGCAATGCTCTGCACAGGGGAAGGGTCAATCCATGCAAGGCCAGACACACACATTTAAAGTTTCAAGTCAGTCTGGGCATCACCTTGTTGTAGAAACCCAAACTCCTCTGTTAGGGTTTCTCTGCCATTCAAACTGAAAAAAATGAGCCTGGATGCACATCCCAAATAGGACATCAACACCAGAAGCATTAATAAAGGAGATTTCTTGATCAAATGACAAAGGTGGCACCTCTTGACTCAGAGGGCACCTCCAGGGCACCACGAACTCCTCAGATGCTGCATTTCAGCAGCGCGGGGCTTGCAGAGAATCTTTCCTTCAAGGTCCACCTTTCCAAAACAAGGATTACATTGTACCCCTGGATATCCCCTTGAGAAATCTTAAACCACAGCAGGGCAGAGTAAAATGGGGCAGCCCCACCAGTGGGACCAGCCCCCTGTGGCAGCCGGTGGCACACAGGGAAAGGAACACAACGGGTCACTTTTAAACTGCACATGTGCAGCCATATAAACCACAGAAAACATCAAGCTCGGTGCCTGTAATCTTCAAACATATTTCCTTTGCTCCTTTAGGCTTTTCTTAGATGTTATCCAAGGGCTGCATAAGGGATTTTTGAACCAGGGAGGGGATGAGGGACATGGCAGTGGGGAATTCTTCCAACCACAGCAAAGTTAGAGAGTTCAAACGAGCTCAACCTCTCCTCTCCTGCCTGGGAGTTGCTTTAACTTTTATGGGCAACCAGTGTCTTAAATGCATTTATCTGCCTAGCACAGGGCAGGGGAGGAGGCAGGAGAAATCTGGGCTGCATCAAAATCAGCACTGAGGGGACACCGAGGTGGAGAACTGAGGATACCTACAGAGGCAAACACAGTTAATATCCCTCACCTCGGTTAAATAATATTTGGAAAGCAGCAGAAAGCAGCATTCTGCAGAGAGGGCTCGCAGTCAGTAATTAAATGCCAGGATTATAGCCTGATTTCCCCCCAGGACACAGACCCAGATATTTGGCAAATGCAGCATCCGATTTTTGTGCCTCCCATAGGATGCACTGAGCTTTATCTCCCTCCTGCTGTACACAAATCCTCCTGTAGCTCTGAATCAAGACCATACGCCTTCCTGGTTCCAATTACAGGCTACAGATTTGGGCCTTTTATGTAAAATAGTTCATGTCCAAAATTTCATTATGAATCCACAATACAGTACCTTTCAACTTGGCCAAGCTGCCAACTCATTAAAGAGCTGCTTTTAATTTTTTTTTCATTATTATTAAAATGTCTCCATGGTGATGCGCGTTTCTCAACCCAAATAATCATAATGGATGAATTATAGCTGACATTACTCTGTTACTGCTCTGCTGTCCTGGCAAAATAACAATGCCTTCACTGTCATAGCTAGAAATGACCCAGGCTGGTGAATGATGTATGAAAACACATCCACATAGGCAGCAATACTAATAAATACGACGTAATAAATATATGAAGCACACAGAAATTGACCCAAATCCCCTTAAAAACAATGGGGACACCCCTCCCAACAAAGGGTCTGGGATTGAGTCCTCATATTTGATTCACTCTTCAAACGAGCTCACGCTGAGAGATGTTGCACATCCGTCACTTAAAGGCACCGCAGCAATGACGAGTTTGGCTTGGCATCCTCCTTCCACCCCCTGGCCAAATCCTCTCAAACTCACTACATGGAACCTCCTGCAAAGCAGCAACAAGGGGTGAAGACCCCAATTCTGCAGGTGGAGCTGTGGAAAAAGCTGCCCAGTGCCATCAGCTTCCCTGGTGCAAGTGCATCTGTGGAATGCTCCAACAGATAAACCAGCAGGGTCAGGCTGAGTCTCTTCTCCTTTCTTGAGCACCATGACCAGGGTTTAAAGACTTGGGTACAATCTCATGCTCTTCAAAATAGGGACAGCTGGAACCTTCTTCCTAATCCAGGTGTATCCAGCCACAGCCCAAAATAAAGAGCGAGCCCTGCTCCTGATCTGGGAAGGGCAGGAAAGCTTTAGCTGTTTAATAGCAAAAAGTAATCAGCAAAACCAAGGAGCTGATCCAGTTCCTGACACAAACACAAGGCAAGGTGGTGTCATTTCCAGAACCTTTCCAGCTTTCAGAGGAAAACAGCTCTCCAATGGTTTTACCAACTTCTGGCCTTTTCCTTCATCCGAGAAGACTCAATTGTGAAATGACTTGTTTTCCTCAGAGGTGACTGTTCAAGCTATAACAGAGATTTTCGAGACTGCAAGTGACAATTGAAAATTTGATTGAAAAACACAAAGGACATTTTGCTGGCTGCCACCAAAAACCTTGCCTTTCTTGCTTCTGCTGGAAGAGCATGGCTTTTGCTGGGAAGCAGGACTTATTTAGGGAGAAAGGACAAAAAGCATCTCAGCAGATTTTTCTCACTCTTCAGAGCTTGCAAAAACCAAGCAAGTTTATATATATTTATGTATATATATACACACACACGTCTTGCTTTGCTGGCTGTGGCGGCAGAATGCAAAGCCCATCAAATTACCATCTTAGAAAAGCACTGACTTCTAATTAGCACAAAATATTCTGTGCAGAGCACGTTTGCCAAGGGTGCTCGATAGCAGGGAGGGAAAGTCACGCTCCAACCCACCCGCCTGGTAACGGGAAATCACTAAACCCACATTTCCCCTGGTACATTGCACTGCAATTACTTTGTTATCTTCATCCCCTCTGTCTCTCATTTGGTGGTGTGAGCTGAAGTCACATCCAGTTATGGAGACGTAAAGAGAAAACATCTGTTGATCTGATGGAAAACACCAGGAGTTCTTCACTTTGCTCTTTCCTATTTCCTCAGTGAGCAGCAGGGAATACTCCACGACTTTGGAAGCCTCCAGAGAGGGACTGAGCTGCTTCAATGACCCCATGGCTGTTCAGATGATGAAATGATTCAAAAGCTGCTTGATGACACCAAGGAAACACCATCCAGGCCTTCTAACCCAAGGAAGACAGTTGATGCAAACCAGGAACTCCTTGAGGACATAATCAGTAGGGAAGTGGGAGAAGAGCAAGAAAGTCTCCTCCAATGCCAAATTCTCTCCTGTGACCATGATTTGGTCCCTGCCTGTTGTCTTGTTGTGTTAACCTGTGTCAGAAACAGTGTGATCCAGTCTCCTTGCTACGTTAATCAGGCAGAATATCCCTTCCCTTTTTTTTATATCTTGGAGTCACCACTGTTTGCTGGTTTCTGTTACATAAACGTGATCAGGCAAAATTTCACAGTGGCTACAGAAGCTACTGGAAAGCTCTCAAATCCACTGCAGTTGTATGTTCCAAACTGGAACCATTTCCATCAAACCCTTTTTGAGCTTGTAGACACCAGCTGGACCAAAACTTTGAGTCATTTCAGATACATGTTGTGGAGGGACATGATGAAACATGAAGGCATAGGAGGGGTGCAGTTGGGCACACAATGGCATTGTCTGTAGTCAGAAAGGACTGTCCTGCCCTGGACAGCAATAAAGACAAATATAGGGTCTGTTTTACCTTTCTGCAGGCATTTAAACCACGTGATTATGGGCTACCAGCCTGTCAAACGCTGCTCTCATCTATCTTCATGTCAGGCTCAGTTTGTGTGCAAGACACAGGCTGTGCTCCTGCTCACCATGGATTAAATATAATTCACCTGCTTGTTGTCACAGCAGGACAATAATGAAGCCTGAAAATAACCTCAGTGATAACACATGCAATGAAGCAACAAAGGAAACACAGGGGCAGAGGATGGAAGCACATCAGCAGCCCAGCCTCAAGGTCTTCATTTGGGCCACTGACAGGCTGGGTCTGATAGAAACAGCTTGTTAATCAAAAAGCATTGATAGTGGCACAGAACATTAGCTCTGATTTAGCCAATACATTCACTGCCTCAGGAACACTGAAGGAGAACATGTGTGTCTGCTTTGCTTAAATCACCTCCTGTCTCACAGGCACTTTTCTCACCAAACTTAGAAAGTCCTGCCATGCCTGTTTTCCAGCATTGCCACGTGAAACAGGGGTATCCCAGTGCTCCTGTATGGCTTGGGAAGGAAGATTTCTGGTGGTGGCTCCACGCTCCAGACTGAGGCTCTCAGGCAGTGAGGAATTCAGGTCCATAATGGGTCCAGTCTTTTCACAAACACATTTCACCCTGTGGCAGTTTCCCTGAAAAATTAGGCTCCAGTGCATCCTCAATCAGAAATAAAATAGTCAGTAGCCCACGTGCTCTCCAAGGGCTTTGTGAACTCCTGCATCTTCGTGGCTTCCTCTAATGAATCTCCCAGTCCTTCAAACAACTTTTCATGGGACATCTGTTCTTGTGGGACAGTCTATTATTTTTATATGGTGATTATTTGTGTTATGAGAGACACCACAGCCACAGAATAAGACCCCACTGTGCTTGGCACTCCACAAACACAGAACAAAACACAGCCTGTGTTCCTCTGCATCCTCCAAGCCTCTCTCCCCAGCTGGATGTCACCCTGTGATAATGAGAGAGCAGAAACTTTCCAACCTAGGAGGGGACAGATGCAGGCATTGGCCACATCTTCTGCAGTGAAACCCACCACCACGTGGCAAATGCAGTGATAAAAGAACAACTGCTGCAGTTTTATTTGATGGCTGGAAGTTTGCAGCCCCCCTGAAGCAGCAGAACCACTCCCTGCCAAGGGGAGCGTGCAAACACACTTGGAAAATTAAGGAATCACACAGTGTGCCTGCAGAATTTGAGGAAAGGGTCAGATGCTTCCATAGGGTAAATAAAAAGCTGTGGACTCACCAGGATACAGCTGCTTTGTCGGTGCACTAAGCTGAGCATCTTTTGTTACTCTATAAGCAACATCTGCTTCTTTTGAAGATCTTCTGCTTGTGCAAAACCCTGTTGTTTTTGTTATACCATCAGGTAAATTATGAAAATCTAATACCTTCAAGAGGTCTGCAGGGTCAGCTGTGAAGAGAAAAGGAGAAAACAAGAATTAGCAGGCAACAGGACCGGCACTTGCTCAGATCCAAATCAGTCTTAGCCTGCGACACACAAATCCATCAACACAAACTTAAAAACAGATGAAATGGGCTTTCAATACATCTGCAAATATGATGTTAATACAGCTTCAAAGCCAGCTCGTTGTGCTGCTGGTCAAAGACACTAATTCAATGCAGAGAGGAGCAGCTCATCAGCTGTCTGCACCAGGACAGGAGGGAGAATGAGCTGTCTTATTAGTTACAGTAGTTGTATTTTCCTGGATGTCTTCACCCAGTCTCCATCATTCAAGTGCATCCTGAAGATTAAGCATTTAGACAGGAAATTCATGATCTGAGAGAAAGGCTTTAAATCAACAAGTCACCATCAAGCTGATGCAGGTCTAACCCTGCCCGGGGTGAAGCAAGGTGACACAGGGCAGGGAGGCAGCACAGCTCCACCTCAGGCAGCCAAGTGCCCAATTCCCACCAAATTATTCCCCAGATATTCTCCCCCATGACACTGGGATTTCTGTACAACCACCAGTGCACACCAGAGTGCAGCTGGATGGTCAGAACCCCACATTTGCTTCACAGAAGTGGAAAAAATCTGCATTTTCACTAATGACATGAAGCAAAAGGCTCCTTTCCTCAATGATGGCTCATACCCTGAGGCTCTAGATAATGAAGAGACCTTGTTTGACACCCTGAGCTCCCCACACCAGCACAGTCAGGGCTGGTTCACCTCCAGATGTTCAGGTCTCCAGGATATCAATTAAGTAATGCAAGTGATACGTCTCATTAACTTCCTAATCTGGTCTTGCTCATGTCAGGAGAGATGGAGTCTCCAGAAGTGGAATAACCAGATCTGACTTAAAACCCTTAAAAGAAATCATTCTGAATTTTGATTTGATAGTTGGAGCAAAATGCTGTCAGAAACATGACCCACCCAACTCAAACCCCAGCAGTGCCCAAAGCAAATTGGCCTGTGCTGCTTTTGGCTGGGGTAGAGTTCAATGTCTTCAACAGTAGCTGATATGAGGCTACATTTGGGATTTGTGCTGAAAACAGTGTTGATAACACAGGGATGCTTCCACTGCTGCTGAGCAGGGCTTACGTGGAGTCAAAGGTTCTTCTGCTCCTCACCCATCCCACCAATGAACAGGCTGGGGGTGCACAAGGAGTTGGGGGGGGACACAACAAGGATAGCTGACCTCAAGGATATTCCACCCCATATGGCATCATGTCCAACATATAAAGCTGGGGGAAGAAGGAGAGAGGGGGAACACTTGAAGTGATGGTGTTTGTCTTCCCAAAACACCATCATGTGTGATGGAGCCCTGCTCTCTGTGGTCTGCCCATGAGAAGTGGGCAAGAATTCCTTGCTTTGCTTTCCTTGTTTTACCTGTTGGACTGTTTTTATCTCAACCCACCATTATTTTTTCCCTCCACTTTTTCTGATTCTCTCCCCCATCCCCACTGGCTCCATCCAGGGGGAAGGGCTGAACCGTGTCCATCAGCACCGAACACAAACTCTCCAGCAATGGAAAGAAACAGCAGGAACACATCTTTTACAATATCAAAAAGTTTTGGTTACCAAGAAGATCAGCCTAATATTTGCATGGAAAATTCATGTACATTGTTAGGCAGTTTTTAAAAGTTTCCATAATCCTGAGAAACTGGGCCCTCAATGAGAGATTACAAACATATGGCAAATCCAAGTGAGCACAGCAGATAATAAAGGAGCTGAGGGAGCCTGGCCTCAGCAGCACACAGCTGTAATATTTCCTCATCTCTCATTCTTGTTAGGCAGTGTATGGATGACACATTTGTCTAAGCTGTCCTTGCCACTTGGATCTTCCCCCTGCCTTCCACCGTGCCTTATTTCACACAGAAGTATCTGCACACACACACAGAGCAACTAAAATTACAATAAAACTCCACCTCTGCTTCCAGTCACATCCCTGTGCTCCAAGAAATTTGGAACAGCCGGCTCCTAAGCTGCCTCCAACATTTATTTAGGGAGCAGAGGGGGGAAAAGCAAGGGGGAGGGGATGGGAATTCCAGAGTCCTGCCAGCAGCCGGGTCCCCACACCGGGTGCAGGGGGTTTGAGCCTCGCTCAACGCTGCACATCAGCCACCCAGAGGTGTTTGCAGGAAGAGAAACATCTGCAGATGAATCCACAGCTGCTGTTATGACAAAAGTTATGTGAACATCCTCTCCTTTGGCAGGGGAGTGCTCCTGCAGTGGTTACAGGCACTCAGGGGAGCTGGGCCTCCTCCAGGAGCCACCAGCAGGTTTGGAGCTCCTGCCTGGAGCCTTCTGAGCAACCCCAACCCTTCACCAGTGCCCTAGTGCAGCTCTTCTCATTTGCAAAGGATGATTCAAGCACCTGCTGCCTCCCTGCACTGCTGGGAGCCTCCAAACACAACCTGCAATCCATCTTCACTGCCAAGGAAGATTCTCTGTACCTCCATAACTGTGATGAATTAGGTCAAAATGAGCTATATTAAAGTAGAAAAACAATCTGAATACTGCCCAAACAAACTGCAAACCTCACAGGTGACCAGCAGGAGAGGACAACCCTCTGTTCATAGAGGTGCATGAGTGTCCCATCTCTGCTTGCTCCTGGAAATCAAAGAGGGGGTGAGGAGCCAACTAAAGCCCCACAGGCCACTGATGCTGCACTTCATCACTAAGAACATCATTCGAGTAGGACTCCAGCAGCATGAAAATCCCCAGCTCTTCCTGGAAAGATGAGCTGCACACAGGAGCAGCTCTCATTCCTGAGAGCTAATCAGTTCATTTATTTCCCCTTGATTTTTCAGCCACATCTAAACTCAGCAGTCTCCTGTAGGGGCTGTGACAGCCTCGTGCACAGGACAGAGACCTGACTGACCAAATTCAGGCTCTGCAGCGTATTTCTTACAAGTTTGCACTGGGCTTGGCCTTCATCTGAGAGCTGAATTAGCTGTTGCTTTATGAAAGCTTTTCTTTTTTCGCTTGCTGTTTTATGAATAACATCACTGTGCAGCATCACACACAGGAACATTCTTTACTCGAGATGCACAGGTCCCTCAAAGAAAGGAGCAGCTCTGTCCCTGCTGTGTCAATATACCCAACACACAGAGAGGCAAACCCCAAACAACTAAAATAGACCAAAAATCAGAGCAGAGGCTGCCCCAAAAGCCTGCAGCCAGCAGCCTGTTAAACCCTTCAATCAGACCAAAAGGGAGCATTGCTTCCCATTTTAACAGGGCAGGGATGTCAGGACCTAAATATGCTCCATAAAGCTCAGAGGAGAAATAGAGCGTTGGAGGAAGGAATGGAAAGATAAGAATTAGTGTCAAAAGGTTGGTTTTTGTTCAGTTCCAAGGAAATGTGGAGCTGGGAGTGTTCAAGGTCAGGTTGGACAAGGCTTGGAGCAACCTGGTCTAGTGGAAGGTGTCCCTGCCCATGATCTCTAAGGTTCCCTCCCAATCCAAACCATTCTGTGATTCTATGAATGATTTGCTGATGAAACATGAGTGGCAAAAGGAGGATTTAAATCTTCACTTCCTCCATTACCACGATTAAACCCAAGACCAATCTTTCTGTGATCATCTGATTCCTGATTATTTAAATACCTGTTAAAACCTGGAACAGAGGCAGCTGGAATTAAGTCTGTAACTCTGCCTTGACCCAGCAATGGCCAGACACGTTTTCTTTCTCACACATCAATATTAGAGCAAATCAAACAGGATTTATTGGAACAAACTCCCTGGCTTTGGGCTGGGCACGGGCTCCAGTCAACACAGAGTCGGTGTGGCCACACCCTGCCACCCCCTCTAAGCCAAACCACCCTCTTGGACTCAGCCATGGGATCCAGGAGCAGAAATACCCCCACAGGACTCAAAAGGAGACCAGAGCATCATTAACACCTGACATGGAATATCAGAGCACACCAGGCACCCCTGCCTGGGGGCAAACCCTGTTCCCAACATGACTGGGTTGTTCATCCTCACCTTTCCTTCCCCTGGCTGTTGCTTAAGACAAATTTGAAGAGGAAAAGAAGTCTTAAGCCCTGCTGATCTTTCAGGATTTGTGCAATAATGAACAAAGATTTTATTTAAATGCCATTTCCCTTGCCAGCCACAGAGCAGGAGAGAGGGGACAACCAGCCCTGGTTTGGCTGCACTGAAGGTCAGTTAAAGACTTTCTCCACACGTCATCTACCACATGACCACTGTGCAAAGGTGGAACAGTTTGATTTCCCCATCCTAATTTGTGGTTTCCCCTCCTAATTTTATCTTCCCTGGCCAAGGCATTCCCCAGGGAAAGGTGTCCTGTCCTCACTGCACTCCTTTGAGGGCTCATGGGGGTCAGCCCAAAGAGGGCCCACACTTCCAGTTCCTGCTCCACAGCTCGATGCTCTTAAAGCCAGGATGGATCAGCAGAAAAATAAGATATTATTCCACCCTGAAAAAAATCCCAAAAAACCCAAAACCTAATGGAAATTCTGCTGTTGAAATTCCATGCAAGATGGAACTGCAGCTTCTATAGACCACACTGAAAAATCCCAGCATACACATCATTAGCCAGAAGTTATTAATCTAAGCCACATTTATGGCTGTAATAATAATTTTTAACACCTGAAGCAAAGCTCATGAACAGGCTCCAAAGCACTTCAGCATCCATAAGTCGCTTGTATGTTACTTGTGAGTATCCATGTTTCCAGTGTCTGAAAAATTACCAAATTACAAGCAACAAACCTCAAAACAAATCTCATTTTTCAAGCTCTTTAATTAAATCCTTATCCCCAAGGAAATCCCCAATATTTGAACTTGCCACTGAGCTGAAAGCTTGAGCTACTTAAGCCCCACAGCGCTGGGGAGAGACATTCCTTGTGTTCTCTCTGCTCTTCCCAGTCACCCCACACAGCCCATCAGGGTGAACTGGGCAGCACCAACGTGGACTGGTCAAAAGGTAGAGCCAGACCTACAAAAAGG